CAATGTGTAGCTGAGGATCTGAGAAAGCTCTCGTTATCTGTATGATGTTTTTCCTCAAGTGAAATAAAATATGAACATATTTCAAATAAAAAAAAAAAAAAAAAACCCGAGGGGATACAAATCGTCGAGGAAGAATCACAAGATTCAGATGAATTCAACTTAAGTCCTCGATAGGCAATATTTCAAAAAAAAAAAAAAAAAAAACCCGAGGGGATACAAATCGTCGAGGAAGAATCACAAGATTCAGATGAATTCAACTTAAGTCCTCGATAGGCAATAGTAAAGGCTAAGGATTTTCTATTTTAAAGTACACAATATTTTCTGTATGAATTCCCCAATGTATATATATGTATATAAAACGTTCACCAATAAAACTTTGCTCAAGCCTTGGTTAGTTTTTCTTGTGTGAGTGCATTAAACACATTGTCAGAGGTGAAGCATTTGGCAAGGCCGAGCCCTGATTGGGGCTCCAAGCAGACATGTACGGGCGGGGAAGTTGTTGATCCAAAGGTGTTCAGCTATACAATTGGGAATAACAACTCTTCATTTCCTCTATACCCTTGCTTCAGTACAAGGTTTATATGCAATGGTGAAGGTGTTGATCCAAAGTTGAAATTTAAAAAACTATCAATTTATATTTTTATAACATATACTATTATCCAAATAGTATTAATATCATTTAGTTGATTACATTGTCAATAAAATCTTTACCTTCATTGTGGAGTTGGGATTAGTCTAATTGTTTATTTTTCTAAATGAGTGCTTTTAATTTTTAAAGTTAAAAGTAGTTTTAGAATGTTTTAGTTATTGTAGAATTACTTTGCTAATTGCTAATGAAGTATCAAATTCGACTCTTTTTAAGAGTAGAAGCAAGATTTTAGATAGTATTTTTATGTGTGAGAAGAAATTGAAAGTGAATAAATTGAGATATAGCTGGATTTTGTTGGCTCAAATGGCAACTCAAAAGGGGAGTGAATTGGGTTTTTTAAAACTTTATGCAACTTTCAAAAACAAAACAATGAATAAGCACAAACAATTATAAACAACTAATTTAAAGTGCAGAAATTAGAAGTTAATGGAAGAGAAAACTCAAACACAAAAATTTATAGTGGTTTAGTCACAATTTGTAACTAGTCCACTCCTTAAGCTGCGTGTTTGAGAGTTAGTTTTGGATTCAAAATCTCTCCTTCAACTTTTGAGTGTAGAGGCAACCGTTTACAATAGTTTTGTTAGCGTTATTCACCTTCAACAATTCAATCCTTTGCTACAATCTCTCACAAACCCAATCCTATACCACAAGGATGGTTTTATCTAAACCTAACAAGGTTACCGAATAGCTTACGGGTGCTATTAAATCATTTACTCTCCTTGTTACAAATCTCTCAACCTTCTTATACCTCAAGGATAGATTACTAGATCTAACAAGGTTTCCTCAATCCTTGTCTCACTTGTTACAATGAAAATAACAGATTTCACAAAACACAAAGTAAAAACTTAATTACTTTTGGTTTTTCAACTTGAAGGCTGTATTTTTCGTGGTTCTCCATTCTTCCAGATTGGTTTTATAGCTTGACAATGCTTAATCAATGTGTTTTACCATTGGAACTTCTTTTTTGAATGAATATATTCCAAATATGGTAGGTAAACTAATGTCCCAGCACAAGTGGTTGGAACTTGCTTTTAGGGGTTGGAACCTGAGTAATTTCCTGCACAATCTTGCAAAAAACAGAATTATCAATAGTTCCAAACCTTGTCCCAAGAGTTGGAACCTCAATTGCCAAATGCACTTTCTATTTTTGGCTCCCCACAATAAGAAAATAAAATCATGCAATTAAATGAATTTTTACCCAAAAGGAAATACATTCAAAACTTAATATTTAAAAATTAATTCAATATTACTAAAAATAAATCATATATTCACAAGTAAATCAACTTCCAATCAATTCAATAAATAATATATTCTAATTCATATTTGGTTTTCAAATCATCAAAATCAAGAATAACAGATCTTAATTTAAGTAATCTTCTACGCTATTTCTCTACTTCTATTAGATTTGTAAAGTAGTGGCTTCATAAAATTAATTTTACAAGACATTCTAATTTAATTATTTGTTTTCTTCTTAGGTGGTAAACGTCTAGTACACGAGAACTTGCCCTCCATCAATTTAAATTCCAAAATGAAAATATTTAGTTTATTTTAGCCGCAATTTCCCATACCCATGAGGACCTACCATTTCCCCAGGGACGGTGACAGAGGGCATTTTTTGTCACCATAAAAAATCTCTATAAGGATCCTCACACCTACCATTGCCAAGGACAAGGGATGAGGAGGGGGTCCCCGAGGCCAGGGCTCTTTTCCACTGCCACCCTTGAAATTTTTTAACTTAAAACATTAGGATATACCAAATGCCAACAAGCTGTGTTAGATATTGATGAGAATCCAGTCCTTGAGCCCCCGTGGTTGGGTTTGGATTGCCTAACGACCCCCTAACATGCAACCAGTCTTCGAAATGTAGATGTGCACTATCAAAATGAGCTACTCAGTTATTTAATTCCTTTTTTCTTTTTTAACATTTTACGCCCATTTTATGACTTGATGTAATAATTTAACTTTCAAGTTTGTAGGCCTCCTATTTACCTTTCTGCCTTAGGTCTGCTCACTTGGAAAGTTCATCTTGCTTAATGGCTGCTCAATTGGAAATTTGTTACCCCCATTTATTATTACCCTTTCTCAACTTCCATCTTCATGACAAAGCCACAGTTGGGTCACTTCAGTGTCCTTTTATAAGGAGTGTCCTGTTATAAGGCCTAAGTCACAGCTCAAAGTTCCCTGTTGAACAAAATATATGGACAGGTATAATACAAGAGCAATGTTATTGCTCTTTGTATTTGCATTTCTAAGCAAAGGGTATACTCAAGACTCAGGTGCTTTGCTCTGTCCATCATAACCTTCGGTGACTCTACAGTAGATGTTGGTAACAATGACTATATCTCCCCACCCTTTTCAAGGCTAATTACCCTCCTAATGGTAGGGACTTCATCAATCACAAACCTACTGGCAGGTTTTGCAAAGGAAAGTTATATCACTGGTAAGAACAAAAAGTACCAAGTTGTCGAGTGTTTTGGTCTTTACTAAAGTAGCTAGATTTCTTATGTAGCTAAAACACTAGGATACAAAACTTAGGTTATGCCCCAGCATATCTTATAGCCTGGAAGCATCAAGGAAGAACCTTCTAGTTGCGGTCAATTTCGCTTCAGCTGCATCTGTCTATGATGACAAAGCATCTATCATTAATGTGAGAACTCTATCTTATTATGCATATTTTCATCTTACACTCCTTAGCTCTTCCCAATTTTGCTATTTTGCAGCATACCATCCCTTTGTCACAGCAACTAGAGTATTATAAGGATTACCCAGAAAAAACTAGCAAAGATGGCTGGAAATAGAAAGTCTACATTCATCATCAAGGATGCCTTATATATACTTAGTGCTGGCAGCAGCAAATTCATTCAGAACCACCATGTCAATCCATTAATCAACAAAGTCCACACCCCAAATGAATATGGTTCATATCTCGTTAGTGTCTTCTCCAATTGCGGACAAAGGTGTTAATCCATTACACCTTTGTATGCATACTGTAAAATCTGATAGTATAAGTAAAACACAAGCACATGGCAAACAGGACTTGTATGGGTTAGGAGCCAGAAAGATAGGAGTTACCTCTCTGCCACCATTGGGTTGCCTTCCGTTAGCAAGAAACGCTCTTCAAATGGCATGACAAGGATTGTGTGTCAAGGATCAATACTGATGCTCAACAATACAAAAGGAAGATCAATGCATCAGCAGCAGCAAGCCTACAAAACCAACTTCCTGGTCTTTAGATTGTGGTTTTTGACATCTTCAAAAGATTAAGTAGTAACAGATACCAGTAGTTCTTAACAGCAAACCAAGCACAGAAAAC